CCCCCCCCCCCCTCCCCCTTCGTGTCTATCCTCACCGCCATGATTCGATTGCTGACCCTGTTGACGACGGGACGGAGACGGAGACAGACTCTTTTAGGGACTCCGCTACTGCTATGGGCACACCATTTCGTTTGGTGTCTTCTCCGTTGTAGAAGAGTTCAACACCCTCTCCAATTTCTCTTAATCCCTTCCAGCGGGTCTCCTGAAGGCAAAGGACTTGGATGTTCTTGCGCTTCATAAGATCAGCAATCCCATATTTGGAGTCCCTATTTGAACTAACTTCTTTGGCCGAGGTCTTTCACTCCTCGGTAGCCCTCGCGTACTGTCCACAGAACTCAGGCGGGGGGCCTGTGCGCCACTTCCGGGTGACGTCCTAGCTTTATTCCTGATACTCTTTGAGACTTCAGATATACATATTTGTTGTGACTAGTTTCTCCATCAGCCGGCCCGTCAACGTGGGTCTGACACCGCACTCCTTCTGAGTGCAGACGTGAACCTACACTCCTATCTACTCGGCTATCCCTGCTTATTTTCCATTCAAGAGTAATGGTTGTAGAAAGGAAAGTTATGAAAAGACAAAGAAATGTGCGTGACTGGAAGTCGTAGTATTTGACAGGCCTGAATACTCTTGTTTTCTAACATTGCTGCAGCGCTGCTAACTCAGTGATTATCCCACATGAATATCTCCTGCTCACTTGGATGTCACGCCTGTGCATAACCGTTAGAGCTCTAGCAATAGCAATAGTAAATGCTCCCACACTTTAATTTATTTCCACCCAGTCCGTGGTGTTTTATGTTACGCCAGTCGGTTCGCCTGGCTAACGCCGGGTTTTCCTCCCTGCATCTTTAAAAGTTGCCATAATCGGCCAACTCTTCACTCCATTTTTGGTACAAGTAATAGTTTCCTGTACACGAACTTTGACACAGGACTAACAAGGCAAAGCAATGGTATCCAGTGAAAGTAGGTGCTTACGCCTTTGATTGGAAGTGTCCATCTTCTGCTCTCTTTCTTGAAAATAAATACACGTATCAATGTCGCCATCAAGGGACCCTTTTCTTTGCGGAGATATTAGTTGGGAATCCCAGATTACTGGCGTGTACAGCGGTCGGCCACCGCAAGTCATAGTATAGGCCACATACGCACTCATTACGCCACTACGATCCTGAACGGAAGTCGAGTGCGGGGACGAATCCCTCAGACGGGATTGATTAACGCCAAAAACTATATTCTTTATCCTTGATGGCATCTACCAGAGCGAATCCGTCATTAAGTCACAAACCTTGCTGGGTAGCAGTCGTAATCTGATGGCAAGAAATGAACAAAGTTTTCATCTGCCTACCTTAATGCCGCTAATGGGTCCCTATCACTGCACTTACCATTCACTTTTGTCACCCTACTCTAGCATCCCGTTTTATCGAAGGAAACACACTGAAAGGTCAAAGCTACATCGTAAACACCGAGTACATTATGATTTTGATCGTTAGGTGCCCTCTCTTAGGCCCTTTATCTTCCCCTATCAATTATTATCAGTTCCTGTTACCGAGTACCCACGATCACGTCATATCCTACATCACTTATTAACCCATTGACGACCGCGTGGCCCGCCAGCCTGTCACACCATATCGTGCTCCTGTAGTATTTATATTATTTATCAAGTGTTCTTATAATTTTTCCATGTTTTCAAGTATCAGCTGAGCTCACAACCTTCTAGAAAGGCGCGGTCGCCAATTAATCATTAGCAGAAATCGTTTCGGGGAATTTTTACGAGCTTTGCATTTGGTCATGCTAATGACGACCGTCTTTTCAAGTCATGCTTATGACGACCGTCCTTTCAAAATATGTATCTCATTTTTTGAAGTTGTTCAACGAACGAAAAATTCACCGAGGTAATGTACTCCATTGAAAAAATCACCTTTACAATTGCAAAGTTAGAAGATTTTCTAGGACCACGCTGTAAGTATGTAGTTTCATTTAGGCCTGATGTAATGTTTTGAGAAGAAGAATTGAAAGAAATTTGAAATTTAGATGAATAAAACAGAAAATACAACTGCAGTCCACATGTGGACTGCATGGTCATCAATGGATTAAATTACCGAGGTTCCCCTCCATTACTAAAAGTGTAATCCTACCGAATTTGAACGCTCTAGGTCCACGTAAACAGGACTTATGAATTATTTGAATTATCTGAATAGTTGAACAATGAATGCCTAAAATTTCTCTCGCGCACGCCTCGCCCCTGTGAGCGGAGTCCGGTCCTGCCACCCACCATGAGGGTTCCCGTCCTCCCTCTGTACTCCAACCAAATTTCACGCTTTAGGTCAACGTAAACAGGAGTTTAAATCTGCGCCCCAAAATTTCTATCGCGCACGCCCTGCCCCCTGTGGGCGGAGTCTGGTCCTTCTACCTGCCATGAGTGCTCCCATCCTGTCGCCTGTACTCCTACCAAGTTTGACTTTCTAGGTCCACGGGGACAGGAGTTATGGATTTCCGGTCGGACACACAAACAAACACGCACACGCAAACACTGTCAAACCAACGGGTATGGGTGCATTTACTAAATATTGGATGGACGCGGCAAACCGCGCGGCGAAATTCTTGGTGATTCAAACGATTCCGCCGCCCTTCATGGGGCACAGGTTCGAAGTAAATTGATTAAATAGGGTCGGCTGATGCTACGTATCTACCCTATTCAAATTTGTGCCCCAATGATAGACGCCAGAGCCGTATTGAATCACCACAGATTTCGTCGCGTAATTGCCGCGTCCATCCAATTTACAGACAGTAGGCAGATTGGGCTATAATTGCTAATATCGTCTGGATCTCCCTTTTTATACAACAACACAGTCTTGCTAGTTTTCCACGACGTTGGTACTTTGCATTCCGACAGGAACCAGTGAAGAGTCTAGCCAGAGTTCTGACGATAACCGGTGGAAGACTCTTCATATATTCTGGTTTAATCCTATTTTCACAGGGCGCCATATAATTCTTCATCGATGTGATGGCATGTCGTATTTCGGAAGGAAGAACCGAAGGAATGATATATTCGCCTTGCTTAAGAAGGTAGACATGGCCGTCGAAGGGATCCGAGTAGAAGTCGTGGATGACCTTCTCCATTGCCCTTCGAGATGCAGTAACCGTTACGTCAGGACGACGAAGAGAAGTCATCTTGACCTTGTATTTAGCGAAGCACCGTCGGGCTTTGCGAATGTTCTTTCCGGCCTCGGTGGCTTCTTCTTAACTGCTGCTCTTCTCTCTTTCAGATCTTCTTTTATCGCTTCTCTGCATAGTTTCGCAAGTTTGGACGTTTGTCGATGTTTGCCTAAGCACGCGCGATTCCACGCCAGCCTGTCACCTCGAGAGTCTTCAAAGAAAGTCGTCTCTTGGCTACTTGTTGACTCTGTTTTCCTAGTGCTATTGTGAAGATGTTCGGCGAGCCGATTGTATTCTTCATCGATGTTTTCGATAACGGAATCTTTCCATTCACTCTCAAGTGAAGCGAAGTGGTCTCAGTTAATGGATTTCTTTGGTCTTCGTTTCCTGAAATTCATAGCTCTCTCTCCACGCACTAGCGCGGAGGAGACGATCCCGTGAAGAATTTCGGAGCAACAGCGGCGTCAGTGAGGCAAAATCTACGATTGAAGATGACGTGGTCTATTTCATTATGGAACTGTCCACAGGTGACTCCCATGCCCATCGCAAATAAGAGGGCTTCTGGAACTGCGAGTTACCATGGATTGTGTGGGTCGACATGATAAACTCGAACAGCCACCCTGCTTATTCTTTGTCATTCCGTGAGACCCGATGTGGAGCTCTTCAGCCGTTCTTCCGGGGCCAATCTCGGTGTTAAAGTCACCAACGATGACTTCAAAGAAAGTGTGGTCTTCTCTTTAGAGTCTCTCCAGATCCATGGTGAACGGTTCCAACTCCTCTTCTTCGTAGCTCGAATTTGGTGCGTAGGCAACGAAGATCGTTAGAGCTGGGGTTGAGCCACTCTTCTTAATCGCAAATGCCCGATTCGGGTTGTTGTCTGAATCGATGTTCATGGCCAAGTGCATATTGACGAGGACATCTACGCCCCGACGCCTCTGCTGTCCCATGCTCCAAGGAACAGTTCTTCTCGTCTCAAATACAGTGTGCAGCGCGCGGTGCCTTCTCGTCTCGGTCACTCCGATGGCGTCGCACTTGATCTTCCTAGCTTGCATCATCAGATCTTCTATACACGCCTCCGATGCAAGCGTCCGTGCGTTGAAAGCACAAAGCGCCGTCTTACTCCCTCTTCCTTTGAGCAGCCTTTTTTGGCCCTGAGATTTTAACAGCTTCATCCCTGAGGTCCCTCCCAACGCTGCCGTATTGGAACTCCCTCAGGTTCACGGGAATGAGGTCCATCTGTGTTACTGTTTCTGGCGAGTTGATACCCAACGTGTATCTTGCCAGACTCTGACGTGGGGCTTTGTTTTCGGAGGCGGCGCGGAATCGCCTCTTATGGTTAGATGCTTCCCAGTCTCTCGAATGCAAGCTTTTGGCTGAGTCTATGGGCAGAATACCAACTGCATCCACAGACTCTCCACACACGTATGCGTGGATACGCCTGCCAGAAACAGGGTATTTGGACCAAAACAGCAGAATCAAGGAGTCCGTCCCCTAAATCTACCTGCATCTCTGGGCAAGTACTGGTGACTTTCGGTCGGCGGTTAATTACCCTATTGGCGAATTATATATACTGGGATTATCCATTTCGTTGCTAAGTTTCGCACACAAGTGCAAAACTTAATACTATTCTGCCCTTGCCCCCGCCGTTTTGCCTTTGCGGTACGCCCTACGTGTCAGGCCATGTACGGAACGCTCGAGATCCCAGGGGAATTACTTCACAGAAATTGGGGAAAACGAAGTGGGCAGGGGTCTGCACACATAACAGTACTAGTATAACAAGAAATTACAAGATGCTACGTGTTAATCGGTGTTATACATTGTATCGGAGACGAAGATGTGAATGGGCGCTGGCCATCTATGCGCTCTTATACGGTTTTAGCTAGGGAGAAGTAGTTCTTGAGCTGAGCATTTGCCTCATGAGACTCTGTTTTAGCTGAAGTTTAGAGAAGCACGATTTCCGTGATAAAGGCACAAACAGGGATGTGATGAACTTCCTTGAATGGGAATGGAGACTCTCGATGAGTTGGAGTCGTAGGAGCAAACTTCGCACGGTTGCCAAGTGCTGTTGATTTTTGCATCACAGGGTTACCGAATGCTGTTGCTCCTTCCATTGACCGAAGTGCCATACCATTTTTCGCTCCACCGTCTTCACCCGGTGGGTGGCATTGTAATAAGGCCAGTTGAAAATTTTCGGCAATTGAGATCGAATCCGTAAAGTTTTTCTACTCTCTCGCATCCTGTGTGTCCTGCATATTGGCCTTCAAGTGGAACTGTATGTCTGCATAGTCTAACTGCGATATCTACACGGTACAAGCTCCGTAAATAGGGGATTGGAGATTTGACAGATTTGCCTAGTTAGCCCTCAATTTAACAAATTTAAGTGGTCATGCGGTAAACCAGAAGACCCTTATCCTATTGTTAAGCCCTTAGCCTCTCAATTGCAGGCCCTTTCAAGAAATCGACAGTGATTTTTGTGGAGAAGAAAATTACATCAAATTATCTCGCATTGTTTCTTCAGCAACTGGGATATTGTTTCGAGCCAATGAATTCGTTTGTCTTCTATACTTCTACAGAATAATTCTTTTGAGGAGATTGCGTTTTATCTCTCGATCATTCAGTGATTACGCAATCGCTGACAATCAAGAAACCATTCGAAGGATGTTGAACGGTGAGATCCAGGGTCTGGTGTCCACGAATAAACTCTCGCGCGGGCAGGATATTCCTGATGTAGATCATGTAAGTGAAGTTAATCTATAATGTAAAACTTGTGGTCATGAATGTCACCTGGAATGTGTCACATTCGCCGATACCCTCCCTGGTATTCAATCAGAAAAAATGTATCCTAATTACGTGGCATTTCATCACACACCTGGGTGTGGTCGACCATTAATTAGTTATTAGCCATGCTTTCCCAAATATCATTAAATGGTAGCTCGGGAAGAATTTATTAGACTGCTCTGATATCTCTTTTGTATACAATGACTTTGTGCCTCGGCTAAACGGGCGCAAAGTCACTTTTTTATCTAAGAATTGGTATTCGACGATATTTGGTCGGTCTTAATTCTGTCTATGTGTCTGTCCGTTCTGAAACATTTTATGATTGTAGTATGGGTGCTCAAATTGGAAACCGGCCGCAACTTGAGGCAATGATGTTGATGATAAGCATTATAGCGCTTAATATTGATTTGTAGCGGTATTGAATCAGTAATGATCACTGAACTGTCTTTTAGTTCAGAATAAATCTGTCAGTTGGTAAGAGATAAGAAAACTGTAAGATTTAGACTATCAATAGAGACTAATATGATGAATGACAAAAATGAACAATATGACAAAACACACTTCAACGCTAGCCATAAGGTATCATTACTTATAATGACATAAGGTATTGCGAGCTATCTATCGAATAGAAGCATACTTGTCAAAAAAATCGTTGATGATGGGATTACGCAATTTTTATCGCTCATCTGATTTCAAACAATGTTGGACAGCTAATTTTTCCAATCTTTGTGGAGCGCTCTCACTAACATAAAAATAAAAGCTACTGATGTGATGGTGTCTGGATTATAGGGGCTACTGCTGTTTTTCAGGTTATTATCTATGAAATGGCCGAGTCCTTCAATGATTATAAGCACAGGTATGCTTTCGCATGTATTATAATCTGCTACTCATAAGATTCAATTACCTCTTTTGGGATTGGACGTACTGGTCGCATGGGACAAGGGGGACGAGCCACAGTTATGCTAAATATTCAAAAGGATGAGAGGCATATTGTGCCTCTTGTCGATGTGAGTGCCATTTTGTATTAGACGCCATCTTATTATTATTCATTGCTTCAATTGTATTATAATTCCCTGAAAGGCTTGTTTTCGAGTTTTTTTTCGCTTAACTTTTAACCTGCTCACTTACAAGCAGGGAATGGAAAGGGACAGGATGGGAAATCTATTCGGTGATTTGCGTATGGGTTTTAAAGTGAAGTTGTGAAGAAATGGGAAATCAAATACGCAAACAAAGAATGCCTCATCGGGCGAATGAAGTTCAAAGTCGTTCTTTCATGCAGACAGAAATGACTCCGTTTCGAGTGATGAGTTCGCAAGTTGTTGTTGGAAAACGAATGGCTGAAGGCTTCCGTAGAAGCAAGTTCAAGAAGCAACACTAGAGGGATGGGCAAGAACTAGGAGCACATTGTGCAACAGTGGCAAGGCTCATGATGCGAATTGGGAAGATTGCAGAAAATGCAGAAGTGAATGCAGCATGAGTCAAGGGAGGAGTAACGAATTGCACGCATGTCCCCTGTGGCAATCTGCCCTAGGCCGAAAGAGTGAGCCATTACCTGACCGTGTTGTTACGGTCGGCAAGAAATGACTGCTCTACAGTAACATAAGCTTGGATATGCTGGAGCCGATAAATTATCCCTACTAGCAACCCTTTCGAATTGAGCAATCACCCAAAAAGATAATGGCCCGTATGCATAACGCCCGGGGTAGGGGAGGGAGAGGAAGTGTTTGTTTTCGTCGTGGGTCAGATAAGTGACG